TTCCTTGTGGCTCTGGTTTCTATCCTAGTTTTCATTTGAAGCTCTGTAGGCTGAGGTCAGAGCTGATGCCCAAACAAAGCCTGTGCAGATGGCGCACTCTGACAGCAGGGGTCGCTCTTCCCTGGCCACAGGGTGTTCAACAGCACCTGAGCTTCAAGTAGAGGCAGGTGGCCACAGTAGCTGCATCATTAACATGGACAACTTGACATTTCTCTTGCTGTTTTTGTTTTGTAAGGGGATTGGGTATTGGCATCTCAACTGGGGCTTGACCATGAATGTAAGAAATAAAAAAGGAGAGGCCTGCTCTTTATTGGGTGGTTTGGTTAACTTAGGGCTGACTATCAGGGTGCATTGAATGAAGGTATAATGATCCAGTCAGTAAATGTTAAGCTATCCCCAATCAAGAGAATTATCTGCTTTCTGAATAAAAGACATAGAAAATGTCATTTGGTGGCGAACATTTTTTATCCTCAAGGGCAGATACAGGAGAGCTTGATGATGAACACAGGCCACTGCTGAGAAAGACCACAGTTAAATATGGCAGCATCAGAGGATCCTCAGAGTAGTAATACTATTAGGCTGAGCCCTGGCAGGGTGGCTCAATCGTTTGGAGTGTCGTCCCGAGTACCAAAAAGTTTTGGGTTTGATTCCCAGTCAAGGGCACATATTGAGAGTGTGGGTTCGATCCCTGGTTAGGGTGCATACAGGATGCAACAGATCGATGTTTTACTTTCACATCGATGTTGCTCTCTTCCTTCCTCTCTCCCTCTAAAATAAATAAATGAATAAGTAAATAAATAAAATTTTAAAATCAATAAAAAGCATATTCTATGGTGAGGATTAAAACAAAAATGGTCTCTCTTTAAAAACAAAAATTGGCTAAAAGTCACAGGAAGGGCCCAGCGCAGGTTTAACTCAGTAAATCTGAAGGGCACACTGACCTCAGCAGGGGGCCCCCCCCGCTGTGAGAAGCCCGCTGTGAGCCTGTGATAGGTCACAGTGGTTGACTCCAGGGCAGAGGTTCTTAACTGTGTTTGGTATTTAAAACACCTGGAGCGTCTGCTGAGATTGTAAATCCTGGCCCATCCCAAAGGAGCCAGATTCTGTAGTTGTAGAGGTGCCAGAAACCTGCACTTTCAGCAAGCACCTCAAGTGCCTCTGAAATTCCGGGACCCCACAGCCACTTCGGACTTTTATGGGCCCCAGGCACTTTTGCCTTTGTGAGCCTCTTACTCTATTAAGAATTAAAACTTGGCCGGAACCGGTTTGGCTCAGTGGATAGAGCATCGGCCTGCGGACTGAAAGGTCCCGGGTTCGATTCCGGTCAAGGGCATATACCTTGGTTGCGGGCACATCCCCGGTAAGGGGTGTGCAAGAGGCAGCTGATCGATGATTTTCTCTCATCGATGTTTCTAACTTTCTATCCCTCTCTCTTCCTCTCTGTGAAAAATCAATAAAATATATTTTAAAAAAATTAAAGCTTGTACATTGCAACTTCATTGATATAAACATGAATGTAATCAAGGATAAAATATATATATATATATATAATTTTTTTTTAAGAAACATTTTTGTGGACCCCTAAAAGCTCAGAGGCCCTAGCCACTGTGACTACTGTGTAGGTCAGCCCTCTTGTGACTTTAGGCACAGGAAGAGCTTGTATTCCTTAATCCCTCTAGCCTCTAGGGCATTGGTTCCCAATGTGGGGCACACACCCCACAGGGGCAATTTGATCTTTGTGTGGGGGCCGGGTGAGGGAGGTGCAATTCGAGAATGAGTTATTAACAGTGGACTTTTTTTGCATTTCTTAATGGTTCTAGGGGCCTCATGCAGAGTTTATAAATATATATTGTGACATATTTATGCATTTCAGTTGTTTTGAAACTTTATTTGCTATTTTTCATAACAAACTTCATATTATTTTTATTTTTTAATCAGTTTCTTAGTGATTTCTTCCTTAGTACTTCAATTGTCCTTTCATTCTTTTGTTTTTCTTTTACATGGATGTCATGTTCTTTGGAAGCTAATGGCTTTTTAAGCTTCCTTCACGTGAATAGGAGTTCACTTTTTGAATAATAAGAACTATAGGTCATGGGGTGGGGCACTTAGGGTTTTAGAGATGTGGAGGTGAGGCAGGGCCAAAAAAAAGGTTGGGAACCACTGCTCTGGGGTCAGTGCTTTAATAACTGATTTCACTCACACAGGCAGCTTCATCGAGAAACAGAGGATGAAGGGGACTGAAGTATCCAGGGGGCTGACATCCTTCCCCCTCACTCTAGTCTCCCAGGCTCCCTTTTCGCAGATAGCCAGGATCTCTTGCTGCATCATAATCTATTTGAGTCGGGAAATTATCCCCAATTGTAGACAGTGCCTGGGAAGGCACATGGACATTTCTTTAATTATTATCAGCTGAACCCAAGGCGACAGGCAAAGCCAGGTCTTGGATACACATCTTACCAAAAAGGCAGATGTGTTCTCAGCACTGACTCTTACCTTTGCTCAGGTGTCTGGGAGTGTGTTTTGATATGTAAATCCAGTCAAGCAACAGGAATGCTCCAGCCTACTCAAGGATGCAAATAATCTCCTTTGTCTTGACTTTTGGTGAAACTTCCTGGCATTTGGGGGTATAAAATAAACACACTTGTATGGGCTTGGGTCACTGTCTCTCCAGCAGAAGAGGGCAGTGGTCCCACCCAGTTCCCAGCTTTTTCTTTCCATTTTGTGTCTTGTTCCTTTCTTTTCTCAATCCCCAGCCGCCTCTATTCGAAGAACCAGTTCATCTCTTTCTGTGTTGGACACAGAAAAGAGAGACCCCGCCATATCCCATTACCTACTTATACTTCCAGTCCATTCATACCAATGTATTTTTTTAAAACCGTATTTTTATTTTTTTTATTATTAACTTCAGAAAGGAAGGGAGAGGGAGATGCAGAAACATCAATTGATCAGCTGCCTTCTGCACACCCCACACTGGGGATCGAGCCTATAATCCGACCCGGGAATTGAATTGTGACCTCCTGGTTCATATACCGAAGCTCAACCACTGAGCCACACCAGCTGGGCCCAATGTCTTAACTGTTTCCAGCTCTGCATGTCAAAGACTATAACCTCTGAATTAAATGCTTTGTCTCAGAACAACTTTCAAATGTCTGACCTACATTAAGAAATACATTTTATATTAGGCTCAGTATACACACAGATATAACTGAAAAGTTTTATGAAATATATTTACCCTGAAAAAAAATACTTTTCCTGCAAAGTTTCACAGAATACTTGCATTTACTATTGAATTCACTGAAATGATCTATTATGTCCCATTTAAAAAAGCACACACTAGTCTTACCCACTAGATTGATTTTATGACTCACTAATGGGTCACAGCCTGCAACTTGAAAAACAGTGGTCAAAGGAGTAACAAACATACAAAATAAAAATTTTGAAGACAATGATATGTTTATTTCTGCAATAGAGATACACCTATCACCCTAACCAGTTTGGCTCAGTGGATAGAGTGTCGGCCTGCAGACTGAAGGGTCCCACGTTCAATTCTGGTCAAGAGCATGTACCTTGGTTGCAGGCATATCCCCAGTAGGAGGTGTGCAGGAGGCAGCTAGCTGATAAATGTTTCTCTCTATTCCTCTCCCGTCCTTTCTGTTAAAAAAAAAAAAAAAATCAATAAAATATAATTTTTAAAAATGGAGATATACCTATTAAGGTTCATGGACATCATACTCTTGACTAAAACATCCTCTGCCCCAATGTATTTGAGGGATTATTGCCAACAAGGCATCCTTTTAAGAATAACCCACTCAGTCAAATACTTAATGAACACCTGCCATATTCTGGTCACTGATCTGGCCCTGTGAATAGGCAATAATCAAAGTCTAAACCCTCATCTTGTGAGGTTCTGGTTGGGGAAAAGAAACAACAATGAAATAAATAGGTAAATATATAGTGGTCAGATGGTGGTAAGTGCTACAGAAGGGTTTTTTCCAGATCCTCCTTTCCTGTCGTGTTCACACAAAACCTCCCTCCCTGGCTCTCTCCTGGAAGACAGATTTTTGCTTGTTTGTTTTTTTAATTTACTAACACTTTCAATCTGAAGACTGAGAAAGATGGGGCCAGTAGTGAGGTCATCAAAAAGGTGGCTTTATCTTTGGTTATGTATTTATCAAGTGGTTACGCAGAGATCAATATGGTTTTCTAAATTCTAAATTCTTACTAAGAGAGTAGTGATAATCATTATCCCCACATCTTGGCAAATGTCACGAGTGGGACCAATTTCACCAAACCAAGCTTTTAGTCAATTTTGGGTATCAGTAGCATCCAGACCTTTTTGTTTCCAGGACTGGTGTTCCTACATGTCCCAGTTCCTTCCATATCGGACCCCCCACCTACTTTTCTCCTGATTGGTATTCTGCTCTGGATGACAGGGATTAATAGCAAGAATTCTGCAGATGTTAGAAGTGTAATCGCTTCAGGTCAAGGCTAGAATCTACCCAGTGGATGCATTAGGCCAGGAGTTGGCAATTTTTGTTTTCTGTAAGGGGATGGTGAAGATTTTCAGCTTTATGGGCCATAATGTCTGTCACTATTTAAATCGGCTGCTACAACCCTAACCTTCATAGACAATATGTAAACAATCGATGGCTGTGTTCCAATAAAACTTTATTACAAAATAAGCAGCAGGCTGATCCCTGCTTAAGGCTGATTGAGAGATTATTTCCGGTTGAGAACACTTGGGGCTTACTTTGGAAATAGGCTGAGACGGGATGGGAGAAGAAAGGGAAAGGCTCAGAAAGAAGGCTTCACAAATAACCAAGAGTCAGTTTGGGCGAAGAGCAATGTGCATGCAAGAAGGTGGCAAGAAACTGAAATTTAACTAGGTAAGAACAAGTACATCTACAAGCCTGTACAAACAGACTTTTCATTTAAAAAAAAATTACACTATTTTAAAACTATGTTTAAAATATTATTTAAAAAGTCATTTACAATTATAATCATAAGCTTCTTCCTTGTATCAAAAGTTGTGCCACTATCTTGGTTACTTGTGGGTTCACCAAGCAGTCCAGTAAGTCATCTGTAGAAATGAATGTTTGGGAAGGGCCCATAGTACTATTTGAAGCAGTCTGTTCAACAATTTCATTCTCACGCCCACTCACCAGTCGTGGCTTCTTGGAACAGTGCAATTTGTCAAAGTGCTCTCCGCCTTTACCGACAAAGCCATTACCATCGTTTTTAAACATGCTTTCTGTTTCTGAGGATGGTGCTTCAGAACTCGGTAGTACGGGAACCAGATCAGGGCCAAAGGGACTTGGTGCCTGCTCTCCTACTGTTCCCACAATTAAGTTCTGGCTACCTGTTTGTTCTACCTCCATGAGGGCGTGCACGCTGAATTCTTCCTTTTTCATGTGCTCCCCGTTTGTTCTGAGTGCTTGGACATCTGCTGTCTTAGATGTTCTGTAATGATCAAAAAAGGCAGAAACAGCTCTATTTAAGTAGCGACAATTGACTTCATGGGATGGTTCCTCAACCTAAGGAAAAAGAGAAGTCTTTTAGAGTGGTTACATAAATTGGAAAATAAATCTCGCCAGGGTTGATTTTTTACAGAATACCCACTGCCATGATGGAAACCAGGGGGGCCTACCTCCGTTGGGTTCAACCAAGCCCTGGTGCCGTGTGGGTCCTCCGCGGTTTTCAGGGCGCACACAAGCATGCGGGTGATCGCCTCCTCTACCCGAGCCCGGTGGTCCTCTTCCTGAGTTGAGGTAAAAACGTCACTTTCCATCTGTCTCTCTGCCTCACGGCTTCCAACGGAGAGCAGAGCCCCTAAATTGTGTGTTCTGTTCTCATCAGCATAAGCTTTGTTATAGAAGGAATGGCAGAACACAGTTTTTTATGTGTTCATTATCATCTGACATCTGGAAGAGCTGTGGAATATTTCACTAACCAAACTTAAGTATATATCCTGTATATAAGGCATAGGCCTTGAGTATGAACTGTCTTGTGATGGTTTTTCCAATCTTTTCCATTCTCTGACATGGCTCAAGCAAAATAAATAAATAAGTAAATAAGTAAACAAACAAACAAACAAACAAGGAATAATCCCTATAGAGGTTGATATGCTAATCGTTTGAGGAATGAGAGAAAATTTCATATAAACTTGTCGCTACTTAAATAGAGCTGTTTCTGCCTTTTTTGATCATTACAGAACATCTAAGACATGTAATGATGTAAAGATACAATAAATATAAAATATAGCATATAAATATAAAATATAGAAATTGTATTAAAATTAACTTCTGTTCCTCAAACACATAAAAGAAAAAACAAACCAGATGCCTATAATATTTAGTCTAATCGATATGAGATTAATACCTAGAATATATAAAGAATCTGCACAGTTCAAAAAGAAAATGACCCAATTTTTTTAAATGGCTAAAGTCATGAAGATGAGGATTTCAATAAAAAACAATTATATGAGTAATAAACATAAAAATATGCCTAACCTCATTAAAAATAGGGGGGAAATAAATTATGAAACTAGTAAAAGAGAGTTTAATAATTGCAAGTGGTAGAAAAATGTGCACAGACAGACAGAAATCTTACACACTGGTGATGGAAGTGCAAACTGATCGAGCCATTTGGAAAACTGTTGGCATTATCTTGTAAGCTTGAGTATTATATACGCTACAGACCGGCAATTCCACTTTGATATACACACATATTCTCTATAGAAACTTGTACAAAACAATCCATGGGTGTCTGCTATGTACCAGAAAGCAAGGATAATCTCAAAGATTAATGGTTACATACCAAAAGGGCACAAGCCAGCCTGAAAGAGTTTCACTAAAAACCTAAAGAAGACTAAAAAATTTCAAAATTATCTTGGGAAGCTGGAATGTTCAACCGAATTGCCATGATGAAAACCAAGAGAGACGACTAAAGAATAGGACTTAGGTTTAAAGAACCAGCTTTACAGGTTCAGGATGAAGGGCAATCTGATGTGGCAGCTGATCATGTGAGAAAAAGCATGGGTATTGTAGAGCTGGATATGAACCGCAAGTGAGATTAGATTACTGAAAAAGTTAATGTAGTATGATAAGCAGTACTGAAGAAATTGAGGATCTAAGTTCAGGTGAGGTAGAAATCTTATTCTGTACCAAATAAGCCCCACTGGTTTTCAGGTTTTAGGTACCGAACATTAGGAGGGCTAGGCTTAGCATAACAGCTCTTTCTCCTCATGGCAGTTTCTATTTTTAAATATTTCCCATGTGCCAGGCACTGTATTAGATGCTTGTACACGTTTTGCCCAATTTATTAATTATATTTCCCTGTTCTACCAGGCTTCATGGCATTAAGTAACCATCTAGGTTAGACAGCTAACAAAGGCATATAGACCTGTGTCTTAAGTCTACCTAACCCCAAGCCTACAGCCAAAATGGCGGAGCATCTGAAAAGAAAGTCACACAAAAAACATCGTGCAATAAAGCAGAGCTTTTGAGCCTGGGAAAGATTAAGGGGGAACATCACAGGCATCCTCAAATATTTAGAAAATAAAAACGTGAGTAGTTTCAGAAATAATGGGCATGGCTACAAGCAGGCAGAGGGCAAGCCCCCTGCTCAGCAACAGGATGAGCCGCCTCGGGAGGCGCGGCGTCTGCGGGCGCCTGCAGACGTGACCGGGACTGGGAGTGGACGCGGGCGCCATGGACGCTGCCTTGGCGTGTGCTCCCGCTCCAGTGCAGCCTGCCGCACGCTGAGCGCCGGTGAGTCTGCTGATCTCCTGCCCCACCTCGCACCCAGCTCCCAGGGAGACAGCTCTGCTCCAAGCTCACACAACACAGCTTCCGTGACTGTGAGTTCCACCAGAGCCCTTTCCATTCCCAAAGGGTAAGAAGAGCCCGACTGAGGGGAGAATGCAGCTGCCGAAGAGAGGAGGTGCAACCAAGGCCGGGGAGCACAGCAGAGATGGGCTGAAAACCTAGGTGAAAGAGGGCACAGGTGCAGTCAAATCCTCTGGTGAGAGGGCGTATAGGTGCAATCAAGGCTTTGGGTAGAAGACATAGACTTGAGCCAGATGGGCAGCCATTTTAATTGTCGAGTAGAACAGGCAACCAGGACTAAGGATAGGGTATGGGAGGGAAAAGGCTTCTGGAAGAAATGAAATGATAAAAACCTAGCACCGAATGACTCTGCTTTGAGAAAATGCATAAGCCAGGACTGGGAATTGTCCAACTAATTATGAGAGCCCTGAATCAAGAAGTAGTATTTCTGGTCCAGATGGTGTGGCAACATGAGACATGCATGGAAGATCCAGCCAGGCCCGCACAATCTAACAACACTGGTCAAGGGAAAAGACTCTGCAAGCCACCCTCAGGGCCCAGTGTGTGCCCTGAAAAGAAAGAATGGCACATCACTAACCATCCTATTTCCACCCTCGACATCCATCCACAGAGCACAGAACACATACCGTAATTTATGATACAGCAACACAAAGTAATACTGGTATGCTGGTTAAAATTAATCACCACATTTTAGAAACAGGCTTTGTTTATCTTAAAAGCAGGGAATACAATTATTAAGAAAAAAAAAAAGTACCAATTCAATCCACGAGTTTATACTGACAGTGACAGGATCAATGGATTCTACGTAATGCCACCAGTGTCTGGGAACAAATAGAACCTGAAAACCAAATAAAGAATGGTTAGCACACGTTCAGGACATTTTATTTTTCTATCAGAATCAAAATAAAAGCCCAATAGAAGATACTGGAAAAAGAAAAGTAATACAAATGAATATATAGTAATATTGCTGTAATAAAGAAAAACAAGAAAAAATCCCCACTCCTTTTATTTCCTCTTTTATTGACAAATTCATCTGTTCTACAAAGGACACTGCCAGCTCCTCCAGTTTCTACTCTCCTTAATCCAAGACCTTATCTGTTTACATCTAAGACTTAGTAAAGAATTCTGAAGTTCTAATATTTCCTCCTTTCCATTGCAAAGTAATGGTATAAAATCTGAGAATGGGCCTCGGTAAAAATACAGGACATAGTTTCTGTCTCCTCACAGTCTAAAACCCAGTGGGAAAGTAGTACATAGAAAGGTGGAATACTAGAAAGTGGTGAGTTAGATGAGTGGACACTGGTGCAAGGGGACTTCAAAGGTGGAGAAGCAGGCACAAACTAAGGTCAGGGGCATCCCGGATGGAGGAAGAGTGATTTGAACCAGAGCTGATAGAGTTTAGACAGAGAAAAGGATGAGGACGTATCAGGAGGGGGAAGTGGCACAGACAAGGGAGGTGGGACTGGTGAGGCACAGCAAGTAGGCCAGTCTTACCACTGCAGAGGAGTAATGAGAGATGAGGTGGGAGAGCTAGTTAGGCGAGGGTCTGTGGAGGGCTCTGAAATGAGAACACACAGTCTGGATCATATCCAATGGCACTGGCAGTGGCTGAGAAACTTTGAGTAGGGTGATGGTTAAAATAGCGACATTATGGCAGACTTTGGGAAGGAGGGGAGATTCTTGAAATGGTCCAATTATTAAATGTTAAAATCTAAATAGGAAGGTATAATAGCAAAAAGTGACAGAGTCAAGGAGGACTGTGCTTGTCCAGACTCAGCATGAGATTTCCTCTGGAAGGCTGAAGAGAACACATGGAGAGCGCCTCAAGCTTGTGGGCTCCAGATTTAGGAAACTGGTGGCACTCGCTGTGGACAAGTAGAGCTGGGAGGTGAGAAGAGAGCCCTTTTCAGTGGAACAAAACTAAACACAACCCCTGGATTCCGTCATTAGGAGGTCATGAATGTCCCAACACAGAGTATACTTTCAGTACAGTAGTAAGAGAGAGCCAATTTGTAGTGGATTAAGGAATAAGCAGGATGTAAGGAAAATGGATATGATAGACAAAAGCACTCATTCAAATTTGGTTATTAAAATGAAAAAAAAAATGAATTGTAACTTCACACACACTAGAATTTTTATAACAAAAATAATAACAGTAAAGGGAACTAATAAGTGTTGGTGAGGATACAGGAAATTTGGAACTGTCAGACATTGCTGGTGGGAAGATAAAATGAAGCAGATGGTGTGGGGACAAGTTTGGCAGTTCCCCCAAAAGTTAAATACAAAGTTACTAACATGACCTAGCAATTCCATTCCTATATATGTACCCACTGAAAACGTAGGTATGTACAAAAACTTGTCCACAAATGTTCATAGCAGCATTATTTATCATTGCCCAAAAGTGGAACCAACCCAAATGTCCATCAACAGATTAATGGATAAACAAAATAGATCTCCACACAGCGGAATATATTCAGCCATAAAAAGGAATGAAGTACTAATAACATTCTACAGCATGGATGAACCCTGAGAACATTATGCTCAGTGAAAGAAGCCAGTTCTCAAAGCTCATAGGCTGTATGAGTGTGTTCAGAACAGGTACATCTATACAGAACGAAAATAGGTAAGTGGTTGCCAGGGGCTGGGGGCAGGTGTAGGGAGTAACCACCAATGAGTGGAAGCAACTTAGTCAAATTGCTTGCGTTGGAGTACTCAAGTAGGAAGGAAGAAGGAAGGAAGCCAGGAAAAGGGACAATGGAAGGAAAAAAGGCAGCAGAGGGGGAAAAGGGAGAGAGCAAACTTCTGTAAGAGACTAAAAATACCTTCCAAATTGTTAATAAAACATCAGCAGCAAATGCCAGGGTTGTAAAGGTGATTTTCCCTACTGGGTAGCAGCACTAGGTACCATACTTTGGAAATGTTTCAGAGACAGTTACATAGATAACATTCACTCTTGCTTAAAAGCACATCAGTCTGGCTCTGTAATGCCTCTGCCCTAGATGCACTGCAACGATATGTGTCTGGGTTCTAGCACCGGTTGAACAGATATGTGAATAAAGGTTCCAGAAGTGCTCAAATACCCATGCCTTGACCCTTGCTCTTCATGAAAAAAAGAAAAAAAAAACAAACAAAAAAAAACAACAACTTAGTGAGTTGTCTTCCTCCTCTGTGCATTCTCTTCTTTACCAGTAGGAGGAGCTGTGAGCCCTCCCATCTTTCCATGACCTGAGAAGCAAAGAAGTATGTTGTGAAGCCTACAGCGGGAAAAGCTACCTTCCAATGGCAGAGCACCAAGGAAGAAGCCCTTCTTAAGGGTACCAGTACTAGGGGGAGGGGAGGAAAGGGAGGGGCACGTGGCCTAAGGACAGCTGCCGCATTACCTGTCCTGGGCTCAGTGTAACCACATGTCTTCGAGCTTTCTGGAACTGAGGGAAACGTTTTCCATCAGGATTGACAACATTGACTTTACTAAACACACTCGATTCTTCATAAGGGATTCTAGTTGGATAAAGGAGAGGAGTGTCTTCAGGGGGAAAGAGATGCCATCTTTTCCTAATTTAAGCAAAGAAGACAAAAATTAGTACTCTGAACTGGAGACAAAACTAATATATAAGAAGGCTGCAGCTAAATATTGGCTTTTACTCATTTTCATTCAATCCATAAAGCAACAGAGGAGCAATGTCAGTGGTCACTTGGCCCACCTCTCAGTAAGTGCTGGCGTCTGTGCTGAACCTGGTGGAAGGAGGGCGGGAAGCAAAGAATAATCTCATGATGCCCTGAGGCAGCCGTTTGCTGGGACAGGATCTACCATGTTTCCCCGAAAATAAAACATCCTCTGAAAATAAGCCCTACTTATAGGTTTCCTTCTGAGTGAAATATAAGGCATCCCACGAAAATAAGTGCCCCCCCCCAGGCTCTGTCTCAGAATGAAAATTAATTTACCATAATCAGATAATGATTCGCGCAGGAATGACGGCCTATCTCCAGAATCTTGATATTGCAATAAACAAGCCATTCAGAGACAATTTGCGCATGGAAATTAATGACTACGTTGAAAATAGAATGGAGAGAAATCAGCGTGGAAACTTTGTGAAACCTAAACTGCAAGAAGTTGTGACTTGGGTGAAGAATTCATGGGAGAAAATCACTGACAGTTGCATTGCAAATGCACTGTGAGCAGGCTACCTTGACAAGAAGTACTCATTTAAAGACAGTGCTATTGCTAAACATGAGAGATTTGGTCCACTGATTCTGAAAGAAATGGAGTCACAAGAAATTCACCAGGGAATTCAGGAATTGGATTGTTATGATGATGTTCCAGAAGACGATGGTATGATTGTCATTGAATAAATGAGTAAATTCTTGATACTGTAGGATACACAGTTTATCTGGTTTGTGGTGACAACTACCGTACTACCGTACCCTATACAGGTAATAAATTTCCTTTATTTTCATTTAACAATAAATGTGTACCGTATTCTTCTTCATGGAAAAATAAGATATCCCCTGAAAATAAGACCTAGCGCATCTTGGGAGCAAAAATTAATATAAGACACTGTCTTATTTTCGGGGAAACAGGGTAGTTTGAAAGGTCATTCTTTCTTACCCCAAATCCAAGTCCTCATAAATTGTTCCTATTCCTCATTCTAGAGCTACTCAGAACGAAGTCCACCCTTTCAGATATCTGTATTCTTATCTTATCCAGAGTAAGTTTTATCCTCTACTTTCCATACTTCTTCCTGTTAGGTAAATTTTTTAAATTAAACATTTGTTATTTTAATCCATTAAGGAAGACAAATGCATAAATGATGCCACATAATTAATATAGTGTAGTATAACAGAGGAGTTTTCAAAAAGAGAAAACTGTAAGAAGTTTCAGTCACTTGAAAATTCTTTGAAAAATGGAGGTGATAAATTTTAACTTACACAACACCAGACACACCCATACTTTGAGCCAATGGAGGGAGGACATGGGAGGTAAAGGAAAAGCAAGTGTCAAAAAGGAATAGACACAGAAATACACTGGTGGGGAAGCAAAGGGAGAGAGAGGTAGAAAAAAACAACAACACACTGAATTCTGAGAAAAGCTGAAGCCTTCTCATGATCCAATAAAGTTCCACTGGGGCCATCATGTCATTTCAGAACTGGGAACAGCCCTAGCTGGTTTGGCTCAGTGGATAGAGCATCAGCCTGCAGACTAAAGGGTCCCAGGTTCGATTCTGGTCAAGGGCACATGCCTGGGTTGCAGTTGGGCAGCCAATCAATGATTCTCTCTCATCAATGATGTTTTATCTCTCTTTCCCATTCCTCTCTGAATTCAATAAAGATATATTAAAAAGAAAAAAAAAAAAAAAGAACTGGGAAGCAGTTGTCTGCCATTTTCAAACTAGGGCATGTACATTCAGGTCTCATTTTGCCTTAGAGATGATAAAGCTGCTCCATTCCACTTACCTATGACTGGTTTAGAAAAATGTTGTGTATTTAGTATGATTAGAATGTTAGAAGGGCTCTTAAGAGATCACCAGTCTAATTTCACTTGCAAAGTAGTGGAAAGGGACCCAGTACTTGCTCGGTCTTCCATTGGGCTAGAGTCAATGGTAGAGCCAGAACTAGGTCCCAGCTCTCCTGACCTCTCCCGGTACCAGCTCCTCGCTCTGCCCCATAGCTGTGTTTCCCAAAGGAAGCGCGATAATAACAACCATGTCATACAATATGCAACCTTCTTTTGCTAATCAGAAAACGTCCTGGTTTGGCAAGCTGAAAGAACAGAGAATAAGCAGTTTTTGCCTGGGAGGCAAGATCCGTATGACCCTTCCTGCTTTTTCCTCTGTGCTGCCCTATAAAAGCCCTGAAAGGCCAGGAGAAGAGACTGGGAAACCATTAATTAGGGGAAAATAAGGCTGCACAAACAACAGCTGGAGTACATCTCCCCAACGGCAGGAACACTTACGTTCCTACATAACTCCTAGAACCAGGGGCTATCAAAAGTATTACCTGACTTAGCTCTTATGTCTCTAAGGATTCACAGATAGATGAAGATATAAAACTGACCCAAGTTTCAAAAAAAAAAAAAAAAAAAATACTGCATTGTGTCTACAGGTAGGCACAAACTAAAATTTAGAGTTTAAAGGGGCAGTTCTGGTCCAGCAGTTCTCAAACCAGGCTCCTTGCCATCGCCTCAGGGGTCTGGGGGTGGCAGCAATCTCTTCCTTTCAACAAACTGCTCTGCTCTTACTTGTTTAGGCTTGAAGGAAAGGTGTTCCTGCTTTTAAATAAAAGCTTAAACATTATGCAGACTCTTATGTAAAAGAGCTAAGCAGAGCAATATCTCACTGAACTAAGATTCTAGGATTAGCTTTCTGCTCACCATTTTTTTTTTTTCATTGATTTTCAGGGAGAGTGGAAGAAAGAGGGAAAGACAGAGAGAGAAACATCAATGTGAGAGAAACACAATGATTGGTTGCCTCCTGCACTTGCCCTCACCAGGGCCCGGGCTGGGGAGGAGCTTGCAACCAAGGTACGTGCCCTAGACCAGAATGAACCCGGGAGCCTTTGGTCCACAGTCGGACGCTCCATCAGCTGAGCCAAACAGCTAGGATCAGCTTTCTGAAGGCTACCCTGAACATGGCTGAGACACCATGGAAATCACCATTTCAACTGTTCTCCTCACTTCACAAAGAAGGAAACAGAGGTTAAGAGATCTGCCCTGATCGTGAGGCAGGCTGACCGGACGGGGCTGGGATTAAAACCTTGGGGTCCTACTGCCCACTCTGTGCTGGTTCCTTTTCCTGTACAACATACAGAGGTGCATTAGGCACGCAGACACACACACTCTCATGCACGGGCACGTGTGTTACCTTCCTTGTACCTGGAATACCAAGTTGCAACCATACGAATCCAGATGACAGGGTGTGTGAGCCCCCAGTGAGCCAATCCACAACGTACTCTCCCGTCCATTTCTTCCACGAAACCCGAAGTCAGACCATATCACATCCTGTTTTGAAAATAAAGTTATAGTCCATGAAGAACCAACCAATTCCTCTTATAATACTGTTGCACCTTAGTCTGACATAAACCCAAAACCATGGAATTAATATATATATAAGCTAAAAGAGAGCAAACTAGTGAACCGGCTTGCAGGTTTGGTTTTATTCATTTTTTCAATCATGAATATGTCCTGCTGAGCTGAAGAAAACAAAAGAAAAAACACTTCCATGGGCAGAACATGGTCCTAAATGCTGACACTTCTTTTTTATCAGTATCTTCAACCTATGTTTTCTATTTTTAGAGGCAAACCTTAAACAGCTGTATTCAGAGAAAGAATATTTTGGGGAGACATTTAACGGATGGTTTTTGAGGAAGATTAGAATGAGCGTTTCCATTTTTGTTCTGAGTGATGAAAATAGAGGAACATGTGAACATAACTAACGTCTGTTACAGAAGGGTGAATTTGTGCAAGGTCAGCACCACTGTAAATGCCTCTGCCTCGCAAGCAGCCGCTCCAGGGAGTGGCAAAAGTCATGTGTCTTCTGGTTATGGCCCATAAGCCCCACGCAGTGACTCAGTTCTGCATTCCCTGAAATTACACCTGCCTCAGGGCAAGGGCTCATAACACTGGCTGCTTGGGAAGCAGAGAAGAATCTGTGGCCTGATTATGGGTAAATGGTTCAGGCCAGGAACATTTATAAGCATCTGTCACATAGCTGGTATGACGCTGGGTGTTTGGGATACAAAAATTAATGCAACACAGGCCCAGCCTTCAAATCTAATAAAGAAAGACTGCCCCTTAAGTGGAACCTTTCACTATAATGTGGCAGATGCTCTGACAGAAGTGAGCAGATAGCAAAAGAAGGATGCCTGGTCCCCAGCAGGGTTCCCTGGGGAAGGCTTCCAATGAACCCAGGTCCCTGTTGAACAAGTCACCACACCTCAGTCTGGTGTTTAGCTAAAGGCAGATTAAAGACATGCAGTATAAACACAAAAAGCAGGGGGTTGCCTTAGCTAAGAAGTAGCTGGTTAAAATGATTCTTTTTTTTTCTTTCTTTTTAAAAAAATATATTTTATTGATTTTTTACAGAGAGGAAGGGAGAGAGAGAGCTAGAAACGTCGATGAGATGAGAGAGAAACATTGACCAGCTGCCTCTTGCACACCCCCTACCGGGGATGTGCCTGCAACCAATGTGCATGCCCTTAACCGGAATCGAACCTGGGACCCTTCAGTCCACAGACCAACGCTCTACCACTGAGCCAAACCGGTTTCGGCTGGTTTAAGTGATTCTTAATCTTCTCCTAGAGACATTCCATTGGGAATCTAATGAATGCCAACACCCATATCCACAGAGAAATGCAAGCACACACAAAATTTCTTATGCTTTGAGATAGTCTAAGCACTGACTGCAGGTGAGAAACGCTGATGAAAGAATCACAGAAGAAAGAGTTTCTATAGGATAGGGGCTGACGGGGAAGGGAGTTAATATATGAGAAACTGACAAGTTTCCCTGATCTCTTATCTACCACAATAATGACTAAAAAAAGGAAAACTGTTTGGGAATGATTAGATCAAGGTGGCCTAAACTACCTAAAATTTCAGCAGCATATTGGCTGGGAAAAACCAGAGGAGGAAGAATTGGGGAGGCAGGTGATGGGGTTGCAGAGAAGAGTGTGAATCAAAGTATATGTCAGGAAACGGACAGCATTTTGTTTCTTTTCCTACAGGCTCTTGGGAGTTGGGCCTTTCTTACCAATCGAGTTCAGCTACTTACAGGTAGCCAAATGTCTGAAATCAATATAGACCCAGGAGAAATCAGCCTCAAGTCTTGCTAAAAACAAGTGACCCTGTTAGGTCAGGACATCAGTGAAACCAACACAGGGGGTTGATGGGGCGATCCACCCTGGAATCTATTCTCACATCCACCTCAAGCACCGGAGAAGTCTTTCTTTTTAAAATATATTTGAATTGATTTCAGAGAGGAAAGGAGAGGGAGAGAGACAGAAACAAAGGATGAGAGAGAATCATTGATTGGCTGCATCTTGCGCACCTCCACTGGGGATCAAGCCCACAACCCAGGCATGTGCCCTGACTGGGAATTGAACCATGACGTTCAACCACTGAGCCATGCCAATCGGGTCAGAGAAGTCTTTAGAAATCATCTATATTCAGAAAATTCTATTGTAACACTGCCCCTGAAAACAGCCATCAAGTATCATGTTAACTGCTTACTACAAAAACACTGCTTTTCTATAATTTCCAAAAGAACCTATATTTGTTTTTTACAATATAAACAAATTTATTTTTTCTTCTGCCAAAAATTGCAGTCTAAAATTATATGAAAAATAATCATGCTTTCTCCTTTTCCTTGTCTTCCCCCTTTTCCTTCCAAAATGTTTCCTCTTACTCCCATGCAGTTAATCTATCTACCTCCACTCTCAGCCTCTGCAACCACTGACCTACTTTCTGTTATCACAATATTTTGAAACTGGATTCTACATAACAATAATGAGGAAAAGTTTTTTTAAACATGGTTTAAAAATATCCCCCAACACCTTCAACAAATGAGACTAAAAATCTGGTTGTAATAAATAAAAATCTGATAGTAATAAATAAAATTCAAGAAAATGTATATGCTTCAATTTTCTTGATCATGTATATCTTAAAAGTATTACAACATTTAAGTGATAGAATAATGTTAAAAACAGTATTAAACTCTAATAGAACATTTTCTACATTTCTACCTTAACACTTGGCTTCTGCAATCGACATTAAAGTCCCTTGGAGTCCCAACTTCATTCAAGTTGGCATCTCTAGTAGCTAACAGTGAGCACAGCAAATGCTAAAAACCTGCCCAGTCACTGATCTAGGTAACTAGGTCTATTTTTATCCTTAGTATCTCCTAAAACTGTTCCAGTTAAGTTAAAGAATTGTTGCCGAATCAAACATCACTGGAAAATGTTGGCACTTAACCAAATATTCCATAATTTTAATTTTAACCAGAGAACTGAAGAAAAACTGGTAAGATGCTTATAAAGAAAAGGTGGCTTTTTTTGCCTACCAAGTAAACCAAACAGCAAAAGTAATTCTTAAATTGCTTAGTTTTAGAAGATGATACAGTACTTCAGAAAATATTTAAACAATATTTTCACATATGTATGATTACCTTCATTCCTGTTTTACATATAAGAAAGCTAGAGGTTCAAACAGGTTAAATGAGCTTATAATAGTTCATACCAAACAGAGGTTCTGAGAACACCACAATTCAAAAATATTTGTTCTTAACTTATACCATTGCTATTTGGGTAACTTGTGACCATGTTTAATTTGAGTCTATAAATTAAAACTTGTCTTCTATTTTTCTCCATGACTAGATCCTAAATATAAGTAGGAAAACTGATTATACATATTTCTGTAATAAACTTACATCTAAATAAAGAAAAAAAAACCCCACTAATATTGACCAAAACAATAAGAATGGAACTTAAAAAAAAATCTTTATTGTTGAAAGTATTACATATGTTCCCTTTTTCCCCTTTGATCTCTTAATTAACAATAAAAACTATGTAAAACTTATAAAGAATAAATACTTCAATTTAAATTTTAAACAACCCTTAAGTGGACATTACAAATTAGCAAGTACTTAGGGCTCTTTTTTCCTTAGGAAATTACCTTAAATAACATAAACAGAAAAAACAGGTAGGCTTGGATAAATGCCCAAATTCTTACATTCCATTTTGTTCCATCAGAAAGCACCACTGGCCATCAAACAAACTCCTTTAATCATCACTAAACTGCCTAGTTCAATTTCAACATACTCTCATAATTATGTTACACAGTAAAGTCCAAGACAGTTAGGTAGAACTAATCTTCTACATATTGCATTTTGGGATTCTGTGTCCTGGTGACTTAACAAACTTCCGGTCTCTCAATAGTTATTCTGAATCACAATATAACATTCTTGGGCAAAATCCCTTTTTCTCTATATTGATTCCTAATAGCTTCAATTGTGATGATACATATTGATAATTATAAAAGGAACACACCTATCATTCTTACCTAGTGAATCAGAGGTAAAGAAATTTTATATGGTAATGTCACAAATTCCCTACCTTCCTTGGGAAGTAGAATACAATGTTTCAAATAAATGCTTTACTTAAATTAGTCAATGATATGATACATAACTAAAAAATAGTGAAACATATATTTGCCAGTATGTATATTGCATGTTTATCAGTGGATGATTTTAATTTGTAAAATAACATGGTTAATACATAAACTTTAAGTAGAGCTAAGTAAAAACTTATAAAGCTAATAGAAGGCTGAAGAGAGTTAAGAATTTCGTATCAAGATTAACAAATGCTATAATTGGTTAACTAGAAGCCACAAGGGTGAAGCTAAGGGTTTAAGTTAAAACAGTCTTTGAAGGGCCCTAAAGGCCAAAGAAATATCAAAACAAGAAATAAGAAAAGAAAAAAATACACTTATGTAATCGTTCTATTACTTATTATGTACAGAGGTCCCACCCCACTTTATATGCAGTTTTACTTTCCATGATTCAAATAAATTAAGTGGAAAACTTCTGAAATAAACAGTTCATGTTTTAAATTCAACACTCTTCTAATGTTCTGCCCAGGACATGAGTCATCCCTTTGTCCAGTGTATATTCATTCCATAAGCTATCCACCCTTAAACACCTAGTAGCTTTCTGGGTTATTAGACCGTGCTCAGTGCTTGTGTTTAAGTAACCCTTACATAACTTACCAATGGCTCCAAAGCCATTCACATAACTTTTATTACAATATATTTTACAACTGTTCTCTTATTATTATTGTTAATGTTTACTTTGACTAATTTATAAATTAAATTTTACCAGAGATATGTATGATTAGGAAAAATAGTATATATGGGGTATTATCTGTAGTTTTACGGATCCACTGGGGGTCTTGGGACATATTCCCAGTAGATAAGGAGGACTACTGCATTCAGCCCTATGTTAACACTTTTGGGAATAAAAGTGTATAAAACACAGTCCCAAACAGCTTACAATATTGTTAGAGAAATTTTATGTAATATACCATTTAAATAACAATCCAAATAAATCAGAAATGAAAGCAAGGGATGAATGGATGTGGGTGCAAGTGGTAGAGAAGGCTTTACGGCCAAGGGTGAACCTTAGAAGTAGAGTTTTAATAAGGAGAAACAGAGAAGAGCATGAGCAAAGGCCAGAAGGTGAGAGAGAGCATAGTGGCCCAGCAGTCACCGAGGAGACTAGACAGGGACTAAGCTAGAGCAGAAAGGATGCATCAGTCATGTTGGGGAGAGTCTTAAATGCTATCCTTAATTTTAAGTCATGAAACGTTTGTGAACATGATTAACATATTTCAATATTGAATCTGGAGCATGACTTGAAATGTATTTTCACAAGAAACTGTTTTAGAAGTAATTAGAGAAGAGTCAGAACTGAAGGAATATAGAGTAATTTCAGAAGCGATGTAGACCAGACGTTCTCGAAATGGCTCATAGAACCGCTTGAGTGTTCTAGAGATCCTTCCACAGGATCTGTAGGGTTAAAATTATTTTCATCATACTACTAAGATGTTACTTAGCTATTTCACTGTGTTGACATTGAGGGCACAAAAATAATGGTGAATAAAACTACTGGTCAAGATAGTGGAACCAAAGTGTCTCCAGCATTCTTATGCCTGGGCTGAGACAGATACAAATGATGGGTTCAGATCAGAGATTTATCCAAGGTAGAGAGAGCCTAGACTGAGCTTAAATGGAATTCCTTAATTCTGGATGTAGAGTTCCCACAGAACGGAATGTATTTAGACCCTTTGAAGACATACAGTGAGTTAAAGGTTGTAGGGCAGACAGCTTGGATTACTTTTTTCTTAGTTGTATATTTTCAAAAGCTTTTTCAATTAACCACTTTGTGCCTCATTTTTCTTAAAATAAGGTTAGTTATTAAATCACAGGGTTACTGTGAGGATTATAAAAGTAAAGCACTTAGAAAAGCATTAATGATAAGTACTTGAGAATCATTACTATTACACAACATTTTGCCTGAAATTTAGAGTAAAAAAGTACTAATCTAATCTACAGATTGGGTGGGGGAATATGAGAAATAATAATGAAATACTCTAAAAGTTCACAATGATATATAAAAGATCCAGCGTTAAATATCCATAAAGCTATCACAACTAAGACTGTAAGAAAAAAAATTTCCTCAGCCGAAACCAGTTTGGCTCAGTGGATAGAGCATCGTCTGCGGACTGAAAGGTTCCAGGTTCGATTCTGGTTAAGGGCATGTACCTTGGCACATCCCCAATAGGGGGTGTGCAAGAGGCAGCTGATGGATGATTCTCTCTCATGGATATTTCTAACTCTCTATCCCTCTCTTTTCCTTTCTGTAAAAAAAAATCAATAAAAAATATATATTTTAAAATTACCTCAAAGTTATCATCTAAAAATGAGTAAAGAATAAATATGGTATAGACTTTGGATTCAGACAGCATCTACAAAATGTTTTTAAAAATGATGGATTTATTTCATGGTTTTGATAATAAAAATATATCCTCACCTAACAATTATGAAACAGCTGATGCCCTGACCGGTTTGGCTCAGTGGATAGAGTGCTGAAGGGTCCTGGGATCGATTCCAGTCAAGGGCATGTACCTTGGTTGCGGGCACATCTTCAGTAAGAGGGTATGCAGGAAGCAGATGATCGATATTTTTCCCTCATCAGTGTTTCTAACTCTCTCTCCCTCTCCCTTCCTCTTTGTAAAATTCAATAAAATATATTTTTTTAAAAAGAAAAAGAAACAGCTGATATAGTTTTCATTTTTTAAATAAAAAGAAAAAAGCATTTAAAAATTTAATAAAGAAATATACAAAGTATTAACAATTGTATCATAGTAATTATGTAAACAGCATCTACACCTTGATTCAAAGTGGGGAATAACACACACACTCAGGCTGAATTAAAAACTTCTCACGAGTCCAAGGGCTACAGCCTATGTGAGAGGGAAGTCCAGAGAGAGAGTGGTGGTAACGGGCAGGAAGGGAGGGGGGAGGGGAGAAATAGACTGCAGTGATGGCTAAGACTTCTCTCCACAAAGGATGGGCAGGGTAAAGGACTCTGATAACTTGATCTGATTGTGGGCAAGACAAAGTCATCCTAACAACTTTCAGGGACTACTCCCATTCATGCCCAGGCCTAAGACACCAGAAATCAGAGCAGAGAGTTTTTAAGATCACTCCACAAAATAAACTGGCGGTAGAAAACACTTAAAAGGAAAGAGGATATTGTAGTCTGCAAACTCTGCTGTCAATTATGTCAACATATGGCAAAGAACTTCCACATTCTTACTTCTGCAAGTACGCCCACACTTCTGCAGGACTCCTACAATAAATGCAACAATAAAGTGGGAGCGCAGCACCTGAGCCAGGCCTTAAATCGGCACTAACCCCTCCAAACAGGGAGAGAGGGAAGCAGCAGCTTGGAATGCTTCTTCATATAATCAGTTCTGTACCTCTGTCTCACCAACAGAATGAAAACTTCTATGTAGATCAGAGGAAAAGAAGTGTTATACATAATCTGTGCTTCTAATTCACTCCAAACCAGCCCAGGAGCTGTTTAAAGGCACTGGAAAAAGTGCATAGGAAATCTGGTGAGTGGAGTAACAGTGAGAAGGCTGCTGGTGTGAGTGCCCAATATTCCGCTTCTCCTGAACAAATCTTTTTGGCTAGAGTGGATAAAATACTCAACACGCACAGTGAACCGCTTTTGAGAGAAAATAACAGTGAGGGAAATGGGGTCAGGAGATTTCTAATTTGTAAACTTTTCTCAAGAACAAATTAATATCATGATTAAAAGTAATGTGTTGACTTACCTGGAAAATATCTGTCTTGTCTTCAAATAGACTGGCAACATATTTATAGTCAGCATACGCCCAGAATTTGGAATAATCATAATCTATAAATGGTCCAGAAATACTAGAGTGGTCACGGTTCCAGGTCAGAAACTCTTCAAGTGTAGCTTCTACGTAACTACATGAAGTTTCAAACTGAGGAACTGCAGAGTAAGAGAACCAAACTTTAAATGTATTTGAAACAGTTTTCCAAAATTGTGTTTTTTTTTTAAATAAAGATAATTTCAACCAAAAATGTTAACTATCTTTTCAATTAATAAAAAGTTAATTTTGCACTTGCTATATAATTAAAATCATTTACAACTTTCATAATACTATTGAGGTACATATATACAATGGAATATTACTCAGCCATAAGAAAAGATAAGATGTCATTTGCAACAACATGGATGAGTCTTGAGAATATCATGCTAACCAAAATAGTCAGACAGGAAAATCAAGAACTGTATGAATTTAACTCATATCTATAATAATTAAAGCATAATATGCAAATCAACCGAATGACCAAACAGCAGAACTGTCCAGACGACCTTCCTGATGACCATGCTATGACATGCACTGGCACCAGGCCAGCCAAGGTGGGTGCGATGCAATTGGTCGGGGGCCCTTCATTGCCCCACGATTGCCCCAAAGAGGTAGGCCCAGGCCACCTGCTGCAGGACAACCTATTGGGGGGGGGGGGAAAGGAGGGCACCTCAGAACTGGGGAGCCAGGGGTGTGTGGCAGTGGATACAGGCAGCACCAGACCAAGCGGGTGTGGCTGGGCAGCTGGGGCCTCTGAGGCAGCCGGGGCTACGAGAGCCTATCCTTGCACGAATCTCGTGCATTGGGCCTCTAGTACGGGATATAAATCTGGAAGCAACAAATGAACAAATAAAACAAACAAACAAAAACTTTAAGACACAATGGTATGGTGGTTACCAGAGGAAAAGGGAGGTGGAGGGGAGGTATCAAAGGATGAAGAGGATCAAGCACATGGTGATGAAAGAGATTGGACTTTGGGTGGTAAACACATAATGCAATATCCAGATATATTATAGAGTTGTAATCGGTATAATTTTATTAACCTATATAATTTTATAGCCAATGTCACACCAATAAGTTTAATAAAAATGTTTAAAAACATTACTACCATTCATTTTTAAAATAAATTAACCACTCATTTTTAAATAAAATAGTAAAATATTCTAAGTTTTTTTTTAAATAAAAAGACACAGTTTTAACCTTAAATCTAAAAACTACCCTTACTTTTGGCTGATTCAGTTGTTAAACAACAAAGTGAAAAGCTCTTCTGAAAGAAAGTTTTTATTGAGTAAGATATAAAAAAAATCATTAAGCTATTAAAAAATATTAGAATATTTATTTTTAGACCTGGCTGGCATGGCTCAGTGTTGAGCGACGGCCTGTGAACCAGGAGGTTGAGGTTTGATTTCCGGTCAGGGCACATGCCCAGGTTGGAAGCTCAATCCTCAGTGGGGGGCATGCAGGAAGCAGCTGATCAATGATTTCCTCTCATTGGGAATCTGATGTTTCTCTTTCTCTCTCTGAAATACAAAAATATATATATATATAATACAAAAATATAAATTTACAAAAAGAAATTTCTAAAGAAATAAGATTAAAAATATTAATGGATTATATGATTTGACTATATAAAAAGGTAAAAAAATGAAGCAAAATCAGAAGACAAATAATAACGTGGGAAACACGTTAGTGTATCCATGTAGAAATTGCATTTCTTTTAACATGATCCATTCTCCTTTCTGCCAATCCTCTCTTTTTTAATGCTTAAGCCCTTAGGACATCAGACCCCAGTCAGCATCAACTGTCTTAAGAACGAAGCCTCAAGTCTGCTGACCACAGAAACAGAGCTGTGGTAAAACCAACCACACATCTTGACTTCAGTTGTGTTTCAGTCCCAGGCCCATAAAAGCAGAAGGACCCCACTGGCCACACCTCAGTGAGCTGGGCAGAACTGCATGATGGCTGACTTCAGGACCTGAAACATGATCAACTACTCCCTACTTTGGCCCCAACCAATCAGAAGAGCCTACAACCCCAACTCCCAAAAATCATCATGATTACTAATTTTCCCCGTACATAATCTGTCCCTGTGTGGTCCCTACTGGAACCAGGTTTTAGAGCACTAGCTTACCTGTGACTGCGGGCTTGTGCCATTTCCTTAAATAAATCTTTACTTTCTTTGCTGTAACTCTTGGTCACATCTTATTGGGCTTTGATGGGTGCTGGCAAATGGACCATTTTAGTCTGGTAAGATCAGTAACAAATACAGTGTTCTTAATATGTAAGGTATTAAAAAAAAAAAAAAAAAAAAACAACCCTCAAAAACACGAAAGCCCAATAAGGAACAGTCAAAGAACAATTACCAGAAAGAAAATACAATTGCCACTAAACATGAATACATGTTCAACATCACCAGCAACCAAAGAAATGTTAATTAAACTCATGACATGTTATTTTTCATCTATCAGCAAAATTGTCTTCATTTCTTTTTAACTGAATTTATTGGGGTGACATTGGTTAATAAAATTATATAGGTTTCAGCCTGCCTGGCATGGCTCAGTGGTTGATCCTATGAACCAGGTCCGGGTTCCATAGGGTTGTGGGCTATGTAGAGGGTGTTCGGAGGCAGCCAATCAAGGAATCTTTTTCATCACTGATATTTGTCTCTCTCTCTTTCCCCCTCTCCCTTCCTCTCTGAAATCAATAAAAAATATATTAAAAATAATCAGGGTACAGTATCATCTGTATGTTATATTGTGTGTTCACCATCCCAAGCAAGATTATTTTTTAAAAAGTGCCTCCTGCAAAGAGCTGGGCCATAGTATCAGGGTCTTTCATCCTTCACCCACACAAATGCCTGAATGTCCATTAGGAGCTCAGTCCTCCAAGAGAAAGTGAACTTCTTCATGGGAAGAGAGACTTTAAAACAGTCCATTACTGACATAACTATTATAATCAGATATTGTAACTATGCTAAATGTTACTACAAAATAGTGGGAGCTCTGAGATAATTTAAAAATCACACATTTGGGGGTGAGGGAGGGAGATGTGGTCAGGAAAGACTTCCTGGAGAAAATGTCATTTGAGCTAACATCTGAAGGAAGAAGCAAAATTAACTAGGTAGGTAAAGGTGGAGTAAGGGGAAAGAGGAACAGAAAGAAGCATGGCTAGACAACAAACTCGAAGGCCCTGCGATAAGAAACAATCTCTAGAAAGACAAAAAATGCAGAAATGTTTGTTTGGCTTGAGCTCAGGAAGAGGGATTAAGCTGACAAGACAAATAGAGCTTTCTACACCAAAACAAAAGTTTGACCTTTAGACTAAAGGTAATGAGAAGCCATTTAAGGGTTTAAGCAGAGAAATAAGATGAGTTAAAAAAAAACAAAACAAAAAAAACACTCACACAAAACCCACACTGTCTCTGGTTTCAGTATGAAGAATACCACCCTAGGTAGAGAGAACAGGAGGTGCAGTGGTACTATAGATGAGGCTACTGGGAGGAGAGAAAGCAGGGTAACCCCAACTAAGGGATGGCCATAGAGGGAGAGAAGCAGGTTGCTACTAGATATTTAGGATATAAGTCATCAAATCACCGAACACCACTTAAGAGAGGCATTCCGAGTGACTCAGAGAGTTCTTGTATTAAGAAGCTTTAGGAGTATTGTTGCTACTGATGATAATGGTCATACCCCTTGACCTAGTCATGATCCTTTTAGAAATCTATCTAGAGAAATAATCACAAACTTGGACAAGATTTATTTTCAAAGTTGTTTACAGTCCTACTTAAAAATTTAAAACTTTTAAGCAATCTAAATATCAAAATAAGAGAATTTTAAAAATACATCATGGTACTATCATATAATGGAATATTAGATAGCCATTTAAAAGTCACATTTAATATTGAGAAGCTGCTCAGAATATGTTAAGTAAAAAAAAAAAAAAAAAAAAAACAGACTATGAACATTACTTTTGAAAGACAAAAAGGCGTATATGGACATATGTACACTTTGGTAATAGGACCAAGTGCTTTTTAATTTCTCTGGATCTTCCTATTGTTTTTCAATATTCTCTACAATAAGCAAGTCATATTTTATTTTTAAATTATTTATTTTTAAATAACATTTAAATAACATTTTTTAAATAACAGTGCTTGGCACTGTTCTAAATATTTTATGTACATTAACACATTTAATCTATTACAGATAAGTTACTTACCCAAAATCACACAGTAAGCCAAAATTTGAATCCATGCAAGCTGACTCCAAGTCAGCTCTCTTATTGCTTGTGGCAGAATTGCATTTATACTCAAAGAATTAAGATTTAGTATCCAGAATATATAAAAAACTCTTTAACAACTCAACAACAAAAGACAACCCCCACAAAAACAAACAAACAAACAAAAAACACAACAAACCACCCAAAAGCAAAATACATCTCAATTAGAAAATGGGCAAAGCATCTGAATAGGCATTTCTCCGAAAAAGATACGCAAGTGGTCAATAAGATTATGAAAAGATGCTTAACACTATTAGTCAAGGGAAATGTGTATCAAAAACATAATGAGATAATAATTCACACACACTAGAATGGCCAGAATAAAAAAAGGAGTAAGTGTTGGCAAGGTCAGAGAACTCGGTCACTCATTTTATTGGGGTGGGAATGTAAGATGGCTCAGCTGCTTTGGAAAACAGTTTGGCAGTCCCTCAAAAGGTTTAATACAGAGTTACTAGATGACTTGGCAATTCCACTTCTAGGTATAAACCCAAGAGAAATGAAAACATATATCCACACAATATCCACACAAAAATTTGTACATAAATGTTCATAGTACCCTAATTTATGATAGCCTAAGAGTGGAAACAACCTAAATGGCCAGAAACTTAATGGATAAATAAAATGAGATATATACACATAATGGAATAGTATCTATAAATATAAAAGCCTAATATGCAAATTGTCCCTGTGGAAATTCAACCTGGAGACCCATCACTTGCTATGACGTGCACTGACCACCAGGGGGCAACGTGGAACAAAGGAAGGCCCTGGTTGGCAGCTGGAAGGCCGTGATCGGCCCTGATCACTGGCCAAGCCTAGGAACTCTACCTTTGCACGCATTTTGTGCATTGGATCTCTAATTCAGTAATAAAAATAAATGAAGTACAGATACAAGGATGAATCTTGAAAACATGCTATATGAGTGGAAGAAACTAGCACAGAAACCCACAATATTGTATGATTACATTTATATGATGTGCCCAGAATAGTTAAATCAATAAAAACAGAAAGAGATTATTGGTTTCCAGGGAGTGGCGGTAAGGTAGAAGAGAGGGTGACTGCTGAAGAGGTACGGGGCTTCTTTATGGAGCGATGAAAATGTTCTAGAATTAGTGATGATGTTGCCCAACATGGTGAATATGCTAAAACCACTGTATACTTAAAACGGTGAACTTTTCATTTCGTGAATTTTATTTTAACTTTTAAAAAGAACAAAATATCTTTCGTAAAAACTCAAAGGAGTTGTCACAACCACAAAGACTTTCTACTTTCATTCTTTTATGCTTAAGTATCAACTTGAAAATGTCAAATTACTGTGACTCATCTATAAGTGTGAAAAAGATTAAGAATTAATATTCATAGGGCACTTGGACCTGTGACTGACACAATAGCTCTCAATAACTGTTAGCTATTAGCAGTAGTATTGTATTTGGAGTCTAACTAGGATGGGGAAAAAATTACATCCTATTTCTCTCCAAATTATTGTCTTCAATGAGGGAAAGATTTATTTGACTACAATCAAGAAGGAAAAAAGCACAAGCTGATTTTTATGTGGATGCTGCTGGTCTAGCATTTAATTTAAAAATACAGCAAAAACATTTCAGTCTGTCATGGAAATACAAGGAAAGTCTAGACACCAAAAATCAAATAATTCTATGAGATCTACTAGAATGTCAACATGAAAGAAAGAAGCTTTGAGAAGATGGATAATTTTTTAAACTCTGTCTCAGTTAGTAGATTCATAGGTCACTTCATAGCAATACTTAAAACACTCCATTTCTAGACTACCAACCTGCCCATATTTAAATATGAGTTAAACACACATTCTGAAGCCAGACAATGTTGTGGACTCCTTTAGATTAGAAATTATATTCTTCTTATATTAACTGCTAGAGGCCCAGTGCACACAATTTGTGCACTCGGGAGGGGGGGGTAGGAGTCCCTCAGCCCGGCCTGCACCCTCTTGCAGTCCAGGAGCCCTCAGGGGATGTCTGACTGCCAGCCGAGGCCTGCCAGGGGAGGCAGGCCTAAGCTGGCAGTTGAACATCCTTAGTACCGCTATGCAGGCCAAAGAGGCTCCTGCCATCACCGCTGCTCTCACCAGCTGTGAGCCTGACTTCTGGCTGAGTGGCGCTCCCCCTGTGAGAGATCCTGCCCCCTGGCAGTCAGTGTGCTTGACAGCCACCGGTCCTTCTGTCGTTTGGTCAATTTGCATATTGGCCTTTTATTATATAGGATTCTGAGAGGTAACAAAAATTGTGCTATCTGATTATAAGGCAAACAAATCAAAACGTTACCAGTCTTCAGGAAAGAAGAGGGAGCTGGCAAAATCTAATTGCTTAAGAGAATAAGAAAATAGCTTTACATATTAGCTGCAATGGAGGTCAGGCAGCTGATAAGGCAGAGAGATAAAATTTCAACCAAGAATGAGCACTCTAAAATAGTGCCTGAAGCCACATATAAAAGGATACATTCTACACAAGTCAAAAGTGGGAGCAACTATGGGATTACTATTGTTCATTTTCAGTCATATGGGAACAGAAATAATAGCAGATTAACAAATATTTATTAAGCACTTGCCACATACTTGAACAAAAACATTTTATACTAGAAGCCTGGTGCACAGATTTCTGCACTGGTGGGGTCCCTCAGTGTGGCCTGTGAAGATTGGGCCAAAACCAGATCTCCGACATCCCCCAAGGAGGCCCAGATTGCAAGAGGGTGGTTCTCGGGCGATGCACCTGGAATCAGGCTTCCTCCTCTCTAGTTCCAGGTGTATCACCTGAGAACTGCAGCTGACAAGTCACCAGAGCTCGGCAGCTCCTGCACTGAGTGTCTACCCTCTGGTGGTCATTGCGTGTCATAACTACAGGTCAGACAGGCAAACAGTCAGACAATCGCTTAGGCTTTTATATATATAGATGAGATTATAAACTATAGGTTTATTCTTAAAAAAAAAAAATCTTAATAAAAACTGTCCTAAAACTTCCAATAAAATATTCTCTATCTGAAAATGGTCAAAAGAAGAATTATAAATAAAGGATGTTCTAGAGATAAAGAACAAACTGCTGGGAATGTGGAAATGCTATTGAAGAGACATTATTATTATGATCACTTGTGGTAATACCTACCTGTATCTGTACTTTTCATTCCCATCCTAAATCGTATCTGCTTGCCATGAAGGACCTTGGAAAGGTGCTCAGCAGTCCAGTGTCGTGCTGGCCAATCAAAAGCCATATTACAGAAGACTGCAGGTTGCTGTAAAGACATGATGATTTCTTTTGCTTTCTCTGGTGTGAAAGGTTTGACATATTCATCTAGGAAGAGAAATAAATAGAGCAACAGATAAGTAACTATAGTTACTTCATGTAATAGGAAAAATAGTATTTTTATTATGGCAAGTCTTTTTGTATAATTACACTTCACTTATTACTGATCATATAAATCTATACTAATAAAAAGGCAATATGCTAATTACTTTTCCAGTGGGATCGGGCCTAAACAGGCAGTCGGTCATCCCTCTCACAATCCAGGACTGCTGGCTCCCAATTTCTTGCCTGCCTGCCTTCCTGATTGCCCCTAACCGCTTCTGCCTGCCTGCCTGATCACACCACTCCGCTGTCAGCCTAATTGATGTCTAACTGCTCCCCTGCCAGCCTGTTTGCCCCCAACTTCCCTCCTCTGCCGACCTGGTCACCTCCAAATGTCCTTCCCTGCTTGCCTGGTCCCTCCCAACTGCCCTCCCTTGCTGGCCATCTTGTGGTGGCCATGTTGTGTGGTAGCCACATGGGGGCAGGGATATCTGACCACATGGGGGCAGCCATATTGTATGTTGAAGTGATGGTCAATCTGCATATTACTCTTTTGCATGGGCGGGGACCAGCTGGTTTGCCCTGAAGGGTGTCTGGGATCAGGGTAGGGGTTCCCTTGGGGCATGGGGCGGCCTGAGTGAAGAGCCTGTGGTGGTTTGAAGGCCAGCCACGCCCCTTGGTGACCCAACTGGAGGCCCTGGTATCTGGAATATTTACCTTCTACAATTGAAACTTTGTAGCCTGGAGCAGAGCCAAGCCTTCTACTTGCTCTGTGGCTGCCGCCATTTCTGTTTGAATTTATTTACCTTCTATAATTGAAACTTTGTAGCCTTGAGTGGAGGCTTAGGCCAGCAAGGGCAGGTGGAAAGCTTGGCTTCTTCCATTGCCTGGGAAACCCAAGCCTCCCTCCTGCTCTCTGTGGCTGTAGGCATCATGGTGGGTTCATTTGCATACTCGCTCTGATTGGCTGGTGGGTGTGGTTGGTGGGTGTAGCTGAGTGATGATTAATTTGCATATCACTCTTTTATTAGGTAGGATACTAATAGAAAGGTAATATGCTAATTAGACCAGACATCCTTCTGGGCAAAGCCATAGTGGCAGGGGCCAAGGCAGAGACAGTTAGGGGCAATCAGGCCAACAGGAAAGAGCAGTTAGGGGTGATCAGGTCAGGCAGGTAGGCAGAGAGGTTAGGAGTGATCAGGCAGGCAGGCAGGAGAGTGGTTAGGAGCCAGTGGTCCCAGATTGCGAGAGGGATGTCTGGTAGTCAAACATTCCCTGAGGGGTCCCGGATTGGAGAGGATGCAGGCTGGGTTGAGGGACCCCCTCTGTCCCCCTGCCCCTGTGCATGAATTTCATGCACTGGGCCTTTAGGATAAATATAAATATCAAACAACCATAATTCATCAATGATATTTCTTATATTAAATTTTAAATGTTAGAAAGTACTTAGAATTTTTTAATGTCAAAGTGTTTTTAATAAGGGATTTCTAACTATTTATTTAAATTTAAGAAGATGCAATTTTTAAAAAATATTTTCTAAACAGAGGATAATGTAAGAAAAGCTGATATAAACTACTCTAGAACAATCAGAATTGCTAGAGTCAGCAACAATTCTACTTGCTCTATCACATATCTATTCCCCCAAAACCAACTGAATTAATAAAAGTATATCAGTCAGTGGGAAAGGGGGAATTACTTTTATTGAAAGATTTAAAAAGAATTAAAAAATGTGCTAGGAAGAGTATCAGGGTTAATCCTTGACCAGTTTGGCTCAGTGGATATTGTCAGCCCATGAACTGAAGGGTGGCAGGTTTGACTCTGGTCAAGGGCATGTACCCTGATTGCATGCTCGGTTGAGGTGTGTGTGAGAGGCAACCAATCGACGTGTCTCTCTCACATAGATGTTTCACCCTCTCTAAAAATCAATGGAAAACATTTCTTGGGTGAGGATTAACTAAATAAATAAAATATTTGTAAAAATAAAAAAAAATAATCACTGGCTTCAACTGCATTTATAAAGAGTATAGGTGCTAAGAACTGAGTACTTCAATAAATTCCACAGAATTACATAATGTTAATTCTGGATAGGATAGTAAATATTAGTATTTGCTAAATAAAAGAATAAGTAAATTTCTCTTTAAAGACATGTTTAAACACATTGGGGACCAGTAGTTTTATTGCTAGCTTTACCTAATAGCCAGATAAATTTCTATTGAATGAGTACAAAAACGTTTTACATAAATGTTAAAGGCATGCTTTAAAGTTAAATACCCATTGCATTTTGAAGTTATAAGTTACATGTGCTTACCAGCTAATATCTTTTTAAAGTATGATACTCTGTAAAACACTGTGTAATATAAAGCGAGAATTCTCATGATCCATCACTATGTGTTAAGATGAAAGTGTTCTGGAAAAGGTAAAAAAAAATGCTTCATACTTTGACCCCCAAAACATATTTATGATTCTTTCAATCAGCTAAATCCTGTATTTCAGTTATGTAATCTGTAATTACAATTAATTCAAAAAAATTTAGTAAAGCTCATAACTAATCCATATTCTCCCATCATCCAACTTTTTATAAACTTTCTGATAAAAGGATGAGGAATGGGGCAGGACTCAATGAGGAACTTGAGTAATTTGTCTGACTGTAAGACTTGCTTTTAAAGAAAATGAAAATTTAAGTGAATTTCATTTCCTTTCTTAGACAAGGGAAAAAACCTCAGAATCCTTTCCTAAAAACCTTGATGAAAGTGAGCAAGCTCTAAGCCTTCAGCAGTTGATATTTGATAACAGTGTGTCACTTTCTACATCAGTGGTTTGCAACCTTCCTAATGCCATGACCCTTTAATAGAGTTCCTCGTGTTGGGGTGACCCCCCCGACCATAAAATTATTTGTGTTGCTACTTCATAGCTGTAATTTTGCTACTGTTATGAATCATAATGTAAATATGTGTTTTCCAATGGTCTTAGGTGACCCCTGTGAAACGGGTTGCAACCCACTGGTTGAGAACTGCTGTCAGGGGTCGCCTAAGACCATTGGAAAACACATATTTACATTATGATTCATAACAGTAGCAAAATTACAGCTATGAAGTAGCAACAAAAATAATTTTATGGTCGGGGGTCACTCCAACACGAGGAATTCTATTAAAGGGTCATGGCATTAGGAAGGTTGAGAACCACTGGTCTACATACTCAGGGCTTCCAAGTGAGGAGGAAATCGGTATGGAAGCTTAGAGAGGTAAGGGCAGGTAGAAGAGCTGGGGACTACATGGCGTGAGGAAGGAGAGACACTCTTAGGTCTCGATGTAAAAAAAGGCCCAACTCTATCTTTATTATGTTTTTAAAATATATTTTTATTTATTTCAGAGAGGAAGGGAGAGGGAGAGAGATAGAAACATCAATGATGAGTCCTAAACTTAGCTATGATAAACTGTGCTGATATAAACATAAGAGTACATATATCCTTTCTGACTGGTGTTTCTAGTTTCCAGGATATATTCCTAGAAGTGTGATCTCTGGATCAAATGGGAGTTCCATTTTTAGATTTTTGAGGAAACTCCATACTGTTCTCCACAGTGGCTGCACCAGTCTGCATTCCCACCAACAGTGCACAAGGGTTCCTTTTTCTCCGCATCCTTGTCAGCACTTATGGTACATCTACACAATTGAATACTATACTACTGTAAAAAAGAAGGAATTCTGACCATTTGTAACAGCATGGATCGAACTGGAGAGCATTATGCTAAGTGAAATAAGCCAGTCAGAGAAATATAAATATCACATGATCTCACTTATTTGTGGGATATAATGAACAACATAAACTGATGAACAAAAATAGATCCAAAGACAGAAGTTTCAATCACACCGTCAAACCTCAGAGGGAAGGTAGGGGTAAGGGGGAGAGATCAACCAAAGGACTCGTATACTTATATGCATGCATATAAGTATAACCAATGGACACAGAAACCAGGGGGGTGAGGGCATGACTGGGGGTTGGAGGGAAATGGGAGAATAAGGACACATATGTAATACCTTAGTCAACAAAGAAAGAAAAAAAAAGAGAAGAAACAAAGTACTAATACATAGTACAACATAGGTGAACTTTTGAAGAAAACATTATGCTCAGCGAAAGTCAGTCATAAAACATCACATATTGTCTGATTTCATTGATATGAAATGTCCAGAATAGGGCAAATCCATAGAAATAGAAAGTAGATGAGTGGTTGCACAACTCTACATATACTAAAAACTATTGAATTATTCATTTTAAATAGATGAATTGTGTAGTATGTGAATTATATCTCAATAAAGCTGTTACAAGAAAAAAAAAAGTAAAAGAAACATCAATGATGAGAGAGAATCATTGATTGACTGACTCCTGCATGCCCCATACTGTGGATCAAGCCTGCAATCCCAGCAACGTGCCCTGACCAGGAATCGAACTATAACCACCTGGTTCATAGGTCAATGCTCAAACACTGAGCCACACAAGCCAGGCCCCAACTTTATCTTCAAATTACCTTGAAGTACCATGTTAAAGAAAACAGGATGTTACAAGGAATAAAAAAATGTTTCTATCTTTCCTTGAGATGTTTACCACTTTTGACATGTATGATAAATGCACATTTAAGGTCTGAACTCATACTGGCCTATACATACAAGGTTACCAGATTGCAGTGCACCAAATCTTCCAGGACTTGTAGGGCCAGATTCTATGTGCATGAAAATGGACAAGCTGTATTTTTATTATATTTAAAAACAACTTTTAAAATATATTTTTATTGATTTCAGAGAGGAAAGGAGAGGGAAAGAGAGAGAGAAACATCAGTGAAGAGAGAGAATCATTGATCAGCTGCCTCCTGCACGCCCCACACTGGGGATGGAGCCTGAAACCCAGGCATAAGACCTTGACTGGAATCAAACCCAGAACCCTTCAGTCTGCAGGTCGACGCTCTACCTGCTAAGCCAAACCAGCTAGGGCTATTATATATTTTTAAAATTTT